TAATGTAATTGCTTTGAATGTAACATTACACAAAGTCTTTTTGTAAATCAAGGTGTTTAGTACAAGCATTGTACATTATTTTGTCAGACTTTACAGTCTTTATTACACCTTAGTTATTATAATAAATTGTAATGGGTGCTGATTCAGTCTATAGTACCTCTTTAGTGAATTATTTGAGCCAAATGGCTTCTTGAGTAGTATACACTAGTGCTTGCAACTCAGCTTTGTAAACAGATAGTAGTACTAGGTTTTACTGTTTGCTTGACCAGAATATGGTTAATTTAGCTAATTGAAAGATGTAGCTGTTTATTACTTTATGTCCTTCTGTCATTTGTCTGTCTGTATCATAATAGCCTTGTAGTTTTAAGGTGTTCATGCTTCCAAGTTGAAGCTAGTAATTTGTTGTATATTTTAAATATGTAAAGTAATGTTTCACTACTTTGTAGTAATACATTTGGGGCTTTTGTAGATAGTACACTAATTGCCCAGTAATATAAGATATGTTTGGCTGTGTACAATCCACAACATATCTTAACAATCCTACCATATTTATGTATAGCATTGTTTCATTATTACTTTTGTTCATATTATACATATTGTTTGTATTGTTGGATAGATCTATTCTAGGAGTAATAGGCATTCATAGTGCCTTTTTGTTTTTGAAGTGGTAACACTTGATTATACTTTCAATATAATACTTTTGCTATAAGCTAATTGTTCATTAAGGCCTATCTTAGCTTATTTCAATACTAAGTAACTAATGTATTTTGTTACCATCAGTAAATGCAACATATTGTCTTAATACATATTTAAATGCTGTTATTATAGTAATAGTTTTGCCAATAATTGTAATATTGTTGACATGCATAAACATTATAAGAATCGTTTTATTATTTTGTTTCTTATAAAATACAGTGTGATCATAATTAGCTTGTTCTAATCTGATCTTAAGTAGTAGTTCAGTAATCTTTTTGTACCATTGTCTACCTGCTTGTTTCAATCTGTATAATACTTTATTTAAATGTAATGCTTGTCCAGGTTTAATATCTGTAAGTAGCTTGCCTGGCAGTGGTTTCACATAAATGAGTTTGTCCTCATTTAGTTCTCTGTAAAGATATGCAGATTTTACATCTATCTGATGTATTTTGTAGTTCTTAGATACTGTCTAAGATAATAATAATTGTACTGTTGATAGTTTTGTTACTAGGGCAAATAAGTTGTCAGAATAGAAGTCTATTCCATTCTTTTGAGCATATCCTTGCACTGCAAATTGTGCTTTGTATTTGTCTATTTGGCTGTTAGCCAGCCTTTTGATTTTGTAGACAAATTTCATTCCAATTATATTTGTATTTGTAGGGGGGATAGTATATATCCATGTGTTTCATTGTTGAAGTGACTGTATTTCATCCTTCATAGCTTTGATCCACTGTTCTTTGTCTATGTGTGTTATAGTATTGTAATACATTAATGGATTGTTATAGATTTTGTTAAGGAATTTGTTGAATTCTGTTAGATACATAACTAGGTTTATATCATCTTTGTAATTTAAACCTATAATTTGTTTAACTAGTCTTTGCTCTTGTGTAGAGTATTGTATGACAGGTTCTTTGTCTTTATTATTGTTATTAGGAAGAGTTTTATCATTGTTTGATGTATCATTGTTATGATTATTCTCCCCTTCAATCCTAGACATTGGTTTGTCTATGAATTGTACATTGTGTTCAACAGTAACTTTATTATCATAGCACACTAAGTGACCTTTACTGTTAGTATCATAACCTAACTATTATGCATATTAGCCTCTAGGTTATAGTTTATGTGTTTGTTTGTTTTGTATAATACAATATGTGCCAAATTCTTGTGTATTATCTATTTGATAATGTTCATTATACTATTTGTAATATAGTGTTACAAAATTAATAGCAACTCTCAGTATTCTGTTATGAATAAACGTTTGATATTGTACTGTATATACTCAGAATTTTATAGGTAACTTTACTGATAACAGACATGTATGTACACTGTTAATGATAGTCTTATGCATACGTTCCACAACTCTGTTTTGTTGTAGTGTATCATGTACTGTTAATCTGCATATTGTTCCTTGACTTTCAATATACATAGTGAAGTCTTTACTTAGGAACACTATATTATTATTACTTTGAAGAGTTTTAACTCTTATACTGTATTGTGTAAAGAGTCTTGTTGTATGCTTTACATATTCAGTGAAAGCATTACTTTTATGCCACATAGGTAGTATAGTTACCTATTGTGTAGTATCATCTACAATGGTAAAAAGGTATTTGTACTTGCTGTAAGCTTGTACTAGGGTAGGTCCCCAAATATTAATGTGGAGATAATCTCCATAACATTGTGTAAGAGGTGTAGTTCGTATTTTTAGTATTTCATTGTATTGTATGTTCACTTTGATACAATCTGTACACTATACATTTTTATTGTCTGTTATCCTTTGACTTATAATCTCAGGATACTCTTGTATGAGTTTGTACAAGTAATCAAAATTAATATGACCTATTTGTCAATGTAAATCAACAATAGTGATTGTGTTAATAGATCGTTTATTATGATGAGAAACTATTATATACAAGTTATTTTGTACATGTATTTCACTAATCTTTGCATGAGTAGGGGAATAAATAATACATTCATCATTTACATATCCTGCTTTACATAATAGTGCTTCACTAACAAGTGTGAAGTTCAGATTGGGATGATAGTATACATTTTGTAGTAAAATCATATTCACCTTAGTATGCTCATTGTCTTTGTCTCATAGTTTTACATTAAATGTTATTACTCCACTTTTGCTAAGTGTGAATGACAATTTATTCACAATTGTAACATTTATTAGGGTTGAGTTCTAAACGTTTGTAAGACAGAACAAGTATAGAGTAGTGTGTATGTTTGTGCCAGAGTCCAATATATTAACACAATATATTAGTTCAGTATTATTACAATGTATTGTATTGATACATATGTTTGGATTGTACTTGAAGTCCTTAATGACTTCTTTTGTATTGTCAAATGAGTTCATAAAGTTGTCTACTTGTATGACACTATCCTCTTGCACTTTAAATGCTGAGAATACATTAGATTCAGTAGATAGAGCAGATTGAACAAGTAAGCTACTAGAGTTTGATACTGAGGCTTCTACAATTGCAGACTCTAGCATTAGTGTTTCATTAACATCTTTAATGAATACTGTTTCATTATTGTCTCTAATGAATACTACTACAGTAAGTGCAGGTTGAGACAATGTAGTAGTAATAGTAGAAGTAGTAGCTGTTTGCTTATACTTTTTCTTTCAAGCTTCTGTTGTTTTGCTTGTTGAGGGATTTTAGCAGTCTTTTAACATATGCCTGTACTTATTACAATTGTAGCATTTAACTTTACTGTAAGGCTTTGTTTTGCCTTTAGCTACACTTTTGCCTTTTGTTTGTAGACTGTCTTGTTTAGTATCTCGTTTTGTTTGAGAGTACTAAGAATGATACTCAGAATATGTGTTTTGCAACTTGTGTATCAACTTAGCTAGTGTCAGAATGTCTTTCTAAGCTGCTGTAACTGTTAGTAGTTGATTATAATGAGTAATCTGCCTGTCTAGCATTATTACTACCCATCTATACTTATGAGGAGTAGTAAGGTTAATTGCTAAGATGTACATATTGTTATTAGGGGCTTTATTGTGTACAGACAACTGTCTGTAGATTTGTTTAATGTTGTCTAACATCTTATCAAACTGTAATACATACTCTTTTACTATAAACAATGTAGATATGTTTACAGCATGTGTCATTATTGTTTGAACATTGTATTGTTCAGAAAGTACCTTTATAAGACTTCTGACACTTGTATGTATTGTGAAGTTCACATATATTGTATCAGTTATTGTTTTTGTTATAAAATAATACAAAATGTTGTCTGTACATATGCTAGTATCATTAGAGGAAGGGGGATTGTGCTCTAGACAGTCTGAGAGCATCATAACAGTGAGTGTACTGTGTATGTGTAAGCACCATATCTTATATCCCTTTGCACCAGCCAACTTTTCTGTTCCCTCAAAGAACTTTGTAATGTCAGAGTCCTTCATCATAGTGTTAACAAAGGTATGCATTGTAGACAACATCATAATGGGTTTGGAGGGAGAGGAAGTTCTAGGGCTTGGTGTGTTAGCAGGAGGCAAAGGTGTTCTGTAAGAGCAAGTATGTGGGGGCATTCAATGGGCACTAAGGCTCATAACCTTTTAACAAGCATAGTGGGAGTACTCTACAAACTCTCTCTTATTGAGACATCAAGCAAGTGTCTGTCTTATATACTACATAGTAAAGTCCGATAGTCTGAGACATTCTAAGTGTAGTAACGCTACATAAGGCAATTGGGGATTTCCTAATCTAGAGCACAATCTAATACAACAATTGTCGAGTGAATGAAAGTACTTTGGGATGAACGGATATTGTGCATATAATTTAGCTATTTAGGTCTTATCTATCATTTCGAGTATGGTTATGCCGTAAGTAGAGAACGAAGTATCCAAAAGTTTGTTGACTCGAAGCCAGACACGAATGCACAATAGGAAGTCCGAAGCACATTGAGACAGTATGACCGAAACGAAACTACAGACCAACAATCATGCACTTAGATAACAATATCGTGAGAACGTCTGACTAGCAACTGTTCTGCCAGCCAGAATTTCTAGCATTCTTACTAATTACAATATTTTCCCTTTCTCCCCACCTTGCTGAACAACGCTTTCATGGAGCGACTAGATAACATGAAATTTATTTCTGCATCTCTATTGCGACAGGATTCGACTTCAACTGTGATTCTCTTGCTCACTTCCTCTTGCTCGTCGACTATAGAGTCCTTGGGAGAACAAGAAAGGACATGCTGATTTGCTGTCCGTCTTAAGTATCCTCGTGTTAGTTAGGCAGAAATGTGGGCTAATTGTTGCTTACTGTCTCTACCTCGAGTCAATGGCTATGTCACCCTTCACGAACTTGGGTCGCCGCCATTGTACATCTAACATTTTCGACAAGTGTCTTCGCTGCCTTCTTTCCCTCTTTATACTCTATCTTTGCAAGAATGAGCATACAGATCTTGCACATCGGTGACCTTTCCTGGTTGTCGTCGCCTATTTTGGATTTGTGCTTCTTTCGGAGACTAACGAAAGGAAAATTGTATATGGCGATTGTGCGTCTACAGCCAGAGCAGGCTCTTCCTGAACCATCGACAATGGAAACTGTGCTGCCCGACGTTTCGGATAGCGAAATTGATAACGGAAGACATGGACCGCGGACGAAGATGTCATTGTCGTCTGGCTTTCCTGACGTGCGATGAATTGAGACGTATCGCGCTGAGAGCTCCCACAGTTGTTCCATTGGCTCCAAATAACCGTGTCCTAAGAAATGATCGTACAACCCAGCTATCCGTACGATATCGCTAGCAGCATACGAGAGAAGCTCGCTCGATAAAGGTCGCTGCATCCAAATATCTGACAAGTTATCTGCATGGAGTTTCTTCACTGATTCTTTACAAAAGCAATATGAAGTACGTTTCAAGATGTATTCACTCCGATAGAATTGACTTGCCATTTTTAGTTTCGACTCCCATTATTCCGTGTTCTCTCACTGCTCCGTCCATCCCATTCAAAGCGTGCACTTCTTCGAGCTGTAACTTTCGGATTTCTGACCTTGGAAATGCTCTCCTAGAGAGCCGATCAAGCCTCTGCTTATCATTCTGCCCACGCTTGGCACGCGAAAGGATGTCTGCGAGCTGAAGGTCCAATACGTTCTCTATTGGGCATGTATAGCTGAAAAATAATTCCGAATAGTCCATTCGGCCATCCCACACGACTTTGGTCTTAGCTCGAGCAGCAGGTGTGAGTGAAAGAACTGCATTGAAGAGAATTTGCAGCGCGTGGTGAGGAAGAAGCAAGATGTCAAAGAGGAAGATGTCTGATGCGTGCGGTGTCCCAAGCGAGATCAAGGATAGTGCGCCGGATGCGCTGCCGAGATCACGTCCTTCGCAATCAAGAATGATGTATTCTGCATCTGCAAGTACCTCAACGGCTTTCGAGACAGACTCCTCCGTCGTGCATATCGTATACATCTGTTAGTGATAACAGAATGACGGTCTGGAATCAATGTCGCTGAAGAAGAAAGGATGGCCAGATAGGAGGACTGCGCATCATCGCGCAGCCCTCGAACCCTTTCCTGCTATGACGTGTCATCCTTGACCTGTCTGAGAGTCACAGGAGTGGGCCGTCCTAGTTTTATCAGCGTGTCATATAATCATTTGCAGCCTTACAACATTCGCGAAGAGACCAAAGCATATCTAAGTTTCACACTGACAGAGGATGCATCAAATCGGTCCGATATTGCGTCATGTCATAGGACAAGGTACTTGGTTCATCGGTCAGATTCATAGTCAGGCCTTAAGCATGGTGTAAAGCAGGGTTACAGTGGAAAGTCGCACTTATCAGCAGCATATCAGACACCTGTAAAATACAAGAATCTCTATCGTCCTCGGGAAATACATAGGTGGTGTCACAGCATGAGTCGCGCCTTACAAACAGACTAGGGTCCCAAGGCGGGTTCAGACGCTCATCTTCATTGCCACGGGCGGATGCGGCGTGTATCCATCAACAATTACATCCTCTGGCTCGAATTCATCCAAGTCCGAAACGTGCCGTCTCCAGCGGATTTTCGGGAAGGCCCTGGGTTCGCGCTCAAGCTGTACTTTCAGTGCGTCGACATGGTCACGATACACGTGTGCATCGCCGAGTTGGATTGTCAGCGTGTGTGCGTCAGTATCGGTAAGGTGGGCAATGATGTGTGTGAGGATTGCATATGATGCAATGTTAAATGGTACGCCAAGCCCCAGGTCTGCGGATCGCTGATACATGAGACAAGAGAGCTTGGGGCGAGTTCCTTCCGGCGCATCAGGAGGGGGAAGAGATACGTAAAACTGGCATAGAAGATGGCAAGGCGGTAATGCCATTAGAGGAATATCTACATCAAATAAAGTGAGTAAGCTAGATCTAAGGCATGGATAACAGACTTACCAGCTGGGTTCCACGCGCTCAGGATAATCCGCCGGTCTGTAGGATCTTCCCTTATCTTCCCTATAACTTCTCGTATCTGATCCACACCCTGACCAGAGTAATCTGTGTCGCAGTCGACATACTTCGCACCAAAGTGTCGCCATTGGAAGCCGTATACTGGACCTAAGTCACCTTCTCTACGTTCTGTCAATCCGCGCTTTTCGAGGAACTCCTTTGAACCGTTCCCATCCCAAATTTTGACACCTCGTTTGGACAGCAGTGTGCTATCGGTTTGGCCGCGGATAAACCAGATCAGCTCCTCGACAATACCGCGTAAAAAGACGCGCTTTGTAGTGAGCAGGGGCAAGGTGTTGTCTGCGAGGGAGAAGCGGAGGTTTTGAGGTGCGAAGACCGACAAAGTCCCAGTTCCTGTACGGTCGGCACGTACTTCCCCTAAGGCGAGAACGTCGCGAATGAGGTTAATGTATTGGTATTCCTCGTGAGGGGCGATGTTGTTAGAGGGTGCAGTGGGAGTGGAGTTCACGGTAACTGAGCCATTCTTAGTCGTCGAAGACGTGTCTGCAGCATCAATTTGCGACTGCGGTGAGTCTGGTGCTCTAACCATCGTATATGACAGCGAGATGAGCGCGACGCGTAGTGGTGGAGGGGGTAACCAAGACGCGTGTGTGACGGTGTGACGATGTGACACTTGGCGATAAGCGTATTTTCTCGTCCACGTGACCTGGAATGTTGAAACCTGCGTAATACTAAAGGGGCACGTGTATTAGTCCTTGCTCTCCTCCATCCTCATCATGTCCTTGTCGACAGGCCCAAAGACTCCCGCAAAGCGCTCGTCGCGTCTACGCAATGAGAAGCGCACCCCACTATCTCCATCGCTTTCCCATGGGATGACCAACTTGTCCCTCAGGAGCACTTCACCTGTGAAAGCTCCCAGTCGGCGAAGCAAGTCCACTACGAAGACGAAGACCGTCGACATGGTCGTCAAGACAAAATTAGATGATACAACAAATCCCTTTATCTCTAAGGCGGATATACCAAGGCCTAGGACTCAGTCCTTGTCAGAGAGCCTAAATTATGATTTTCGAGCTGCACTCGATCTCAGTGGTAGCCGTTCTCGGCCAACTACCCCCGCCAAGAGCTTTACGGAAACTGGCTGTTTTATTGTGACTGATGCACTGCGACGAGAAGCGGCTGGTGGTTTATTCACTAGACAGGAAGCCCAAAGTCAAATGGATCTGCTAAAGAAGGATTTCGTGCCACCCCCACGGAAGAAAGTCACGCGGTCAAGGTCCCAGCCAGCTATCGGAAAGGTACAGTATATCACTTCCTTTATAAGATTATTAAGACTGAAATATTCTTCAGAGAGACAGGATTTTTCCTAGGGAACCGGAATTGGTTGTGGATCAAGCAGATCGCTTCATAGCGAACCCTGCTGAGCGTGACTTGTGCGCGACCCTCGAGCTCATGCATCTCAACGTCAATTCAGCTTCACCTGGGTATACCGCTCGACTCATTGAAGCCACTGGGCTTCCTGTGGGCAAGCGTGTACTTGCCTTCCATGAGGCACCTCCAATAGCGCCAGTAGACCCAACCCTGGCTGAACAGCGCGAGCATGTTAAGCCACTTCTTCGCGCACCAGGAAATAATCTCATGACTTCCAGTGGAGGCAGTTCTTCGTCCAGCAAAATTCGGAAGCTCCCAAGCCAGCCAGAGCGTGTTCTTGATGCACCGGGAATGGTTGACGACTTCTACCTCAATCTCATCAATTGGTCTTCGCTCAATATTGTCGCAGTCGCCCTCGGGGAAAGCGTATATACGTGGCGGGCAGAAACAGGTGCTGTTACCCATCTGGGTGATGTACCCGAAGACACATACGTCTCGTCAGTCGATTTTTCTGCAGACGGCACGTTCCTCGCGGTCGGTACCGGAACTGGAGACGTTGAGCTATGGGACATTGAGACTAGCACGATGTTGCGCAGTATGGATGGACATCAGGCACAGATTCCTAGCCTTTCATGGAATGGTCACGTCCTCTCAAGTGGATGCGGTGATGGGAGTATCTGGCATCACGATGTCCGCGTTGCACGGCACAAGGTGATGGAGCTATTAGGTCATCACGGTGAAGTCTGTGGTTTGAAGTGGAGGCATGACGGAGAATTCCTCGCGAGTGGAGGAAACGACAACGTTGTGAATATCTGGGATGCTCGATTGAATTATAGCCTTACGGACAGGGATGAGGATGATGTAGAGGTTAGGAATCAAGCCAAGTTTTCGAAGCGTAATCACAATGCGGCGGTAAAGGTACGATTCTGTGCTTGTTTCAGTTATTGAGAAGTTGAGTTGTCGTCATCAGGCCCTTGCGTGGTGCCCTTGGCAATCAAATCTTCTTGCTTCTGGTGGAGGGACGAATGATGCAACAATTCACGTTTGGAACAGCAATACCGGAGCAAGGATACACTCGCTTAAGACTCCTGCTCAAGTCACCTCCCTTCATTTCGCCCCGCACAAGAAGGAGATCCTATCAACACACGGCTACCCGGACAACGCGATTATGATACATGGCTACCCATCACTGACCCGTATCGGCGAGATCAAGGAGTCACACGACTCACGCGTCCTCTTTAGCTGTGTTGGCCCGTCGGGTGATCTTGTGTTGACAGGTGCCGGAGATGAGAACCTAAAGTTCTGGCGTATTTGGGAGGTGCCGAAGTCCGGGAAGCACAAGTCCAAATCAAGCAGTTTAAGCGGTCGAGATGTATATATGCCCATTCGATAATCGAGATGGAATGGGGCTTGTCCGGTGATACATAACAAATACCACTTTTATCCTTTAAACGTCTCCAATCCTAAAGCATACTGTATATCAACCACTCATGTGTCGTGCGTTCCTATTGCTATTCGTCCACGTTATGCTTTTTTTTCATCACTTGTTGTTGCCACCACATGTAGGATTCTAGGTCTGTACATTGAGGATATAGCAATAAAATAAAACTATCAACCTGCCAGTCGCGACCACGATTACCGTCAAAGAATAGTCTCAGCACAATCAAGACGCTTCCCCAATTTAATCTGAGTCGTCTGTTCAACTGCATGCTATAACTATCAAATTACGCATATTTCTTTTCTTTTGAGGAGAAAAATTATTTTTGATGGATGCCCTTATAAATGAGTGTCCATGTCACAAGATCGTCTTGCAGTCTTTGAAGATTCGGATTAGATGTCAGAAAAAAATAGTGTTCATTATGAGAAGGTGCTAACAGACGTAGAACCAGACAACTATATGCAGGTATAAGAGACAACATGGATATCCTAACAAACTGCCCCTGCTACTCAAAATGAAAAGAACTATTGTATACATTCGCGCGATGTAGTAAGCACATGAAGAGGATTAAGGAAACTTTTGTGAATCAATTCAGTAATGACTCGGAGGAGTATTTAAGTAACAACTAATCACCAAATGATTCCGAGTCGGAGCTCTCTATTATTGAGTATATATTCTATCACGTAGATTTTTGACATCCTCTTTCTTCAGAGTGCCAGCACAAATGGAACGTTTCGTTTCAGTGCATTGTCTGCATTGTTTGCACCAAACATGATAGAGACCGTTGCCAT